TGGAATGGTGTGAGCGCGTGGCGCATTCACGTGTGCCTGGAGGCGGCTGGTGCAGTCCTCACTGCCTTCTGCGGGGCCCTCTCCCTCCCTACCCTACAGGAACCCTCCAACTCCCACCAACAGCATTCTCATCCACCTGGTGTTGATGAATGGGAAGACCAAGACTTCAGAGCGCCTTGCCACCAGCCAGGACCCAAGTTTATCTTCCTGGGTGCACAGAATGCCTGCCTTCTGGCTCTCAGACCCCGCCCCCATTAGAAACCTGTTAATGGCCCTGGTGCAGAAGATCCTCCTGTACCTTCTTCGGGTCCTCTGAAAACCCCAATGCAGACGCCTTGGGTTCAGGGCCTGGGTTCCTAGCAACTACAGCTGGGCTGGGATACCTGCAGTGCCTGCAGTTGGAGCAGAGGCTGGGGTAATGGGTCACATCTGAAGGTTTAGGGCAATGGAGTGAGGGGGACTCGAGTTACAATTCCAGAGCACTGTGTGGATCCTGCAGTCCTGGTTAGCAGCCCCAGTGCTGTCTACCCAGAGCACTGCTCCTGCCGGGACCTGAGTCGAACTTGAATACCAGGGATGGGTAGGGGAGGGCAGGGTGGTGGCTGTAGTGAAGTGCGGGTGCTGGGCTGCACCTGCATGCCGCGGCTGGTCGTGGTGGACACCTTCCATCTCCCATGCTTGGCGACAGCCAAGGTCTGCAGGCTACTGAGCAGCGGGGCAGTGCTGTCATCCCTGCTTAGTTCCAGTGTGGGCACACATCCTGGGAAGCACATGCAGAGTCATCCTGCTTAGTTCCAGTGTTGGTGCACACACGTCCTGGGAAGCACATGCAGTCATCCTGCTCAGTTCCAGTGTTGGTGCACACACATCCTGGGAAGCACATGCAGTCATCCTGTTCAGTTCCAGTGTGGGCACATGCATCCTGGGAAGCACATGCAGTCATCTCTGTTTAGTTCCAGTGTGGGCACACGCATCCTGGGAAGCACATGCAGATGAGACACCCAAGGAAATGCTCAAACCACACCTTGGAAAACAGGCTGGGGAAAGAAGTGTCATACCCTTGCACACCGTGCCTGTCACAGTGCTGTGGCTTTTGAACCAGGGCCACTTTCCAGCTGTGGGCAGCTGAGCCAGTCAGGTCTGGTTGGCTTTTAGGCACATAAAGCCCCATTTTAAAATAATTCCCTCCCGTAAGGTGCTGCCTAGAACTTGCCCCACACACTCCAAAATTCCAGGGCTTTGTTCCAGGGTTTGTTTTTTTTCCTATAGGGCGTGTGCGCTCGCCAGACAGACAGAAAGCGAGAAATCACCCCCAGGGGGGATGGCCATGCTGCAATCCCTTCTCCCCCATTCTCCTCTCAGGATCTTGGGCACGCACGCACATGTGCCCGGCTTGAGTTTTAAGCCACCAGGTCCGGGACACGAACCGTGGTCGACTATGTGGGAGTCCAGCGACTTAGCCATTATGCTAACTGCTGGTCCCCCCTTTTATTTTTTTGAATTGCCAGAGGGCACATATGCTTGCCAGAGGGGTAGAGGGGGAGCACCCCTCAATGGGACATGGCCACAGTGCAAATCCCTTCTCCATCTGTCCATCTGCTCGGGATTTGGTGCACACATGGAGATGGGCCCAGCACGTTTATCAAGCCACCAGAGCTGGGATTTGAACCTCATCTGGCCATGTGGAATCTGGCTCCTTAACAGGCCATGGGACCAGCCCTTCCAGGTTGCTGCTTCACCCCCCACTCAATTTTTTAAAAAAGACTTATTATTTAACATGCTACAGGACACGCATGCTCACCAGACAGACAGAGGGAAAGTGTGAGAGCAAGCTACTGCATCTGAGACTTGAACTGCAGCCAGCCATGTGGGAGTCCAGCATCTTAACCACTGTACCACTTGCTGGTCCCTCCCCCCCAGATTTCTGCCAGAGAGCAAGACACAGAGAAGAGAGGGGAAATGAGAAATCACCCCTCCCCCTGGGGGAGATGGCCATGTCACAATCCCTTCTCCATTTTCTCCTTGGAATTTTGGGTGTGTTCTCAAGCCGCTGGGTCTGGTACTTGAAATGCAGAGTTGGCCATGTGGGATCTAGCACCTTAACCACCACACCACTGCTGGCCCCCAGCTTGCTTCTTAAAGGAGGGGTTTAAACCCAAAGGGAAAGGTAGAAGAAAAAGGAACAAGTGAGTAGAGAGGCTGATTTGGTTTTTATTGTTATGTTTGGCTGGGTGCAAAACTGTCCTCCCCACCAGTGATCACCACTGGCTTCCTGGGAGGAACAGGTAGCAAAGATGGCTCCAGATGGCTCTGTGCTGCTGCTTTGGGCCTTGGGCCTTATCAAATGAGCACAGTGGGCTCCACCTTCCAACATGAAGTGCAAACTCTTCACAGTCAGACTTCACCAGGATGGAGAGGTGGTCAGAGCTGAAGGCACTTTTAATCAAGGAGCAACCTAATGCCCAAGTCCGCCTTCCTCTGGTTACTGGGATAAATCTAGACACCCGATTGGTGGAGAAGCAGCAGCCCTGTGCAGGGTAGTGCGCTGACTGAACAGGGCCCGTGGCCTGCTCACTGGTAGAACTTCTTGCTAGGGCTGCTGGCATGGTCCAGGAGCAGCTGGCACGGGGTGAACTGCTTTCCATAGGCAGCCTCGTACTTCCGGAGCCGGTCCACGATCTTCTGAGCACCGTACAGATCCACGAAGCGGAAGGGCCCTGAAAGCAGCAGCAGGACTCTGGTGAAGGAGACCGCACCACAAGCTCTAGGACAAAGTGAGACATGACCAACGAAACCAACCTCCGAGACAAGGGGGGAAGCCAAGGCCAAAGACGGCTCCGATGTCTCCCTCTGCAGGCGTGGCCAAGATCCCTTCCTGCAGGCACAAGACTGCCTCATTCACAAACCTTGTCACCAGGCGGTACTGGATGTCTTCGTCAGAGGAGCTGCAGGAGGAAGAGACACTCAGGCGGAGGAAGAGGAAAAGGGGAGGAGAGCAGGAGCCGCAGGCGCAGAAGGTGGAATGACTGTGGGTATGGGGGGAGGCCTACGGGTGGTTGGTACTCAGTCTCTGACTAAAGACGACTCTGCTGGGAGGCCGAGCCTTCCCCTTGGTAAACGTTCCAGGGGCCAGCAGGTGGCATGGGGTTAAGGTGCTGGATTCCCATGTGGCCATCTGTGGTTCGGGTCCTGACCCAATGGCTTGAAACTCACGCCAGGCACATGTGTGTGCATACCCAAAATCCCAAGAGGAGAATGGAAGAGAAGGGACTGTGGTATGGCTGTTCCCCCGGGGAGTGATTTCTCACTCTCCTTGTCTCTGTCTGTGTCTCTCCAGAAAGTGCATGTGCCCTGGGGCAAAAACCTTAAAAAAAAAAAAAAAAAATGTGCTGGGCTCCCACACGGGGTTTACCACGGTTCACGACCTGAGCACAGCGACTTGAAAATCCTACCAGGCACGTGTGTGCATGCCCAGAGTCCTGAGCGGTGAATGGAGAAGGGGCTGCGGCACGGCCATCTTTCCAGGGCCTCCTAGGGAGGTGGTATCTCACTTTCCCTCTCATTGTCTCTCTGTGGCAAGCACACATGCCTATGGCAAAAAACAAAAACAGTGAAGAAAGTGGAGCTCTCCTTTTCCTAATTAATATGAACAGGGCTCCCAGAACAGGGCCTGCCAGAGGAGAGCATCAGTATCTCTGGACATGAGCGACGGCCATCGGCTCACAAGTGATCGTGAAGCTCTGGGAGGTGGAGGGGCCCAGGATGCTCTGTCCTTCCAGCTCTCAGGACCTCATGGGGGAGGCGCACCTGTCCTTGCTGTCAACTTGGAGGCCAAGTGGGCGTGTGCAAGGGCTCTACTCGGCCGGCACCAGGACTCCCCTCCTGTTCAGCTCGGAGCAGCAAGGAAGTGAAAGCAGGCTGAGAAGCTGGAGCCACCAGAGAAGTATCTGTGGGTCTCTCAAAGAAACTTACACCTCAGGCTTAGGCGGCACCTTCACACTTGCCAAAACACTGTCCATGTCGGAATTCACACTCTTATTCTTCACACCCTCCTGGTAGATGTAAAAGCCCTTCCCAGACTTGCGACCTAAAAGAATCCAGAAAAGGGAGCATTACTATTCATTCATTCTCAGAGCACTGGCCCACGGGGTCTGGTCTCTGCTGCGGGCTCCTGCCTCTCATCTGAGTCCCGGACTCTGCCCAGCTCTCCCTGGCACATCAGTTGTTGTCAGGAGAGTTGGCAGGGAGGAAGATCTTCTGTTTCCTGGCACTTGGAAATCTGTTTATCTGGATGAAAAGCCCTGAGGGTCAGTGTGTGTGCCTGCACCTGCACACCGGCCCTGGGGTGCCCTGGTCCCAAATGCCGATTGTGTTGCTACTTTGCTAAGTAAGAAAGCCCCTCTCTGTAGCTCAACTGTAAGCTTTGTGTTCAAGTGTCAGTTTCTGCCCACGGGGGGCCAATGACATGATAACATCCAGGAGCAGAGCTTGCTCCTGCTGTGTCTGAGAAGTAGCCGAGGCCTCGGGTAAGCAGCAAGGGCCTGCCGCTCGCCAGGGAATGTCAGGGCCCCAGCAGGCTGGATCTCCGCCCAGGCCCCCGAGAGGAGGTTCTCTTGCCGTCCTCTGTGGAAGCCCCCATGACAGGGCTGTGTCGAGAACACGCTCTTACGCAGCTGCTACCTGTGCCACCGAGGCTCAATGTAAAAGCCCTTCCCAGACTTGTGACCCAGGAAGCCCTTGGACACCATCTGCTTCAGCAGGTCTATGTTTCCGCCCCCAAACCGCTCCCCGAAGGCTTTGCCTAGATCTTCTGCCACATGTTTTGCAACATCCACGCCAACTTCATCCACCAGTGTGGCAGCACCCACAGGAAAGCCAAAGCTTGTGGTCAGGGAATCCAGCTTCTTAGGGTCAACGCCTTCCTGAAAAGGAAGGGAAGCAGAGACCTCAGAAGATGGCCCTCCCAGATTCCCCACAAGGGGCCCCTGTACTAGCCCCTAGACCCAGACTTGTGCAAACCCACTTTTCTCCCCGTACCTGGCCAGGCCTAAAGACTAGTACTAGTTCATTCAGAGAAGCTCAAGTGGGGCCAAAAGTGGAAAGTCTAGGTCTTCTCTAAATCTACAGAACTTAAAAAAATATATAAATAAAAAGTTTTTTTTTTTTTTTTTTTTTTTGCCATAGAGCGCATGCACTTGTCAGAGAAGCAGACACAGAGGGAAAGTGAGAAATCACCTCCCAGCGGGGATGGCCATGCTGCAATCCCTTCTCCTCCATTCTCCTCAGGATTCTGGGCACGCTGGGTATGAGTTTTCAAGCCATCAGGTCTGGGACTTGAACTGCAGTTGGCCATGTGGGAGTCCAGCAACGTCACCACTACACCGTCTGCTGGCCCCCAAATCTACAGAACTTTAAGAAAGTTTAGAGATGGGGCTGGCAGGTGGCATGGTGAAGGCGCTGGACTCCCACATGGTGGATCATGGTTTCAGTCCCGGACCTGGCGGCTTGCTTCCTCACTTTCCCTCACTCTCTCTGGTCAAATGAAAACAATTCATAATAAAAAATGAAATTAAGTAAGAGAGAGTTTAGAGATGAACCAATGATCTATTCCCTTCATTTACAACTTGAATCTCAGTAGTGAGAGTCGATGGCGGACAGGACGAGTGTGCTATGACTGAGGGAATAGACTGGTGAGAGTCGATGGCGGACAGGACGAGTGTGCCATGACTGAGGGAAGAAACATTTACCAAAGAGCCCGGTGACCCCGCTTCTGGGTCAGGGTCCAGCGAGGAGGATTCTTCCCCCTTTCCTGCCAGGGAAATGACCTCGTGGCCCCTAGAGGGGTCTGTGTGCAGCAGACGCAGCACCAGTCAGACCACAGGGCCCTGCCTCAGGGTGGGTGCAGAAACAGCCTGTCAGGGCATGTCGGGCGGCCCCGGCCTGATGAGGCAGCGGGGAGCTAAGAGCCGAGTTCGAATTCCACCCACTTCAGCGCAGCCCTTTGACTCCCACTACCGTGTGGACAGGGAGGGCACAAGAGGGCCTTCCTGGAGAAGAGTCAGGAGTCAGGGTAGTGGGAGGAAGCAGCCTGTTCCTCGTCTGACCGCTGCTGGTTGGGAGGACTGGCTGAAGGACAGAAAGGTGCCTTGAACACTCCCGAGAGCAACACTGACCTGGAGGATCCGGATGACTTCCGACATCATGGGCGCAAGACACCTGGTGGTGTAGAAGCCAGGCCCGTCCTGCGAGACAGAGAACATGAGCTCACTGGCCCCGTTGCTGGTACGCCCAAACCCGAAAGCAGCCTCCTTTTCCCAGAAACCATTTCAAAATTTGAAGTGATTTAAAATGTCAATCAGAGTTCTTATAATTAAACTAAGGGGGAGGCCATACCAGGGGTCATCTGGCTTGCATCAGAGCGCACACGTAACTTCCTGGTCACATGCAAGGTCTGAGTGGCCAGAACTGGGCCACACCCCGGACACTCCCTGTTCCTACCCGATGCAGTGCTGCCCTTCCCGGAGACGACCACGGGGAAATCCTCTCAAGAGCTGCTGTTTCCCCAGCATAGCTACAGACAAGCCTTTTCAAAACTGCCGTTCTGTTACACACCTCCCTACCTTAACCACAACGATGACCTTCCCCTGCTTGAGACCGACGGCCACAGCTGATGCGGTCGTGTCCTTGGAGGTCTTCTCAGTCGTGATGATCTCCAGCAGCTGCATCTTGTCCCTAAGGGGGAGGCCATACCAGGGGTCATCTGGCTTGCATCAGAGCGCACACGTAACTTCCTGGTCACATGCAAGGTCTGAGTGGCCAGAACTGGGCCACACCCCGGACACTCCCTGTTCCTACCCGATGCAGTGCTGCCCTTCCCGGAGACGACCACGGGGAAATCCTCTCAAGAGCTGCTGTTTCCCCAGCATAGCTACAGACAAGCCTTTTCAAAACTGCCGTTCTGTTACACACCTCCCTACCTTAACCACAACGATGACCTTCCCCTGCTTGAGACCGACGGCCACAGCTGATGCGGTCGTGTCCTTGGAGGTCTTCTCAGTCGTGATGATCTCCAGCAGCTGCATCTTGTCCACGGGGGAGAAGTAGTGCATGCCGATCACCTGGCATGGGAACACCGCAGGTTAAGGACGCTGGGTGGAGGTGCCTCACCACACTTCATTTGAGCTATGGAGAGCCTGGAGAGAGGAGTCAGGCTACTGCTCGACCTGTCACGTGTCTGGCTCGCGGTTCTGGAACGCGTTCAGGGAGAAGCATTATTGGATTCCTTATTCGCTCCTAGAGCTTTTCACTACAGACATCTGATCTGGTCAATGCCAAAGTCATAGTGAAAGGCCAAACTAGACTCACAGGGTAAGAAGGAATGAAGGGTCCTCTTGTATTAAGGACGCTGATGGTTTAGGTGAGAGGACCCACTTTTTGTGGGAACGGACAAGCAGAAGAATCAGTCGATAGGCAGGGCTATCAGAGAAGCATTGCATTTCACACGGATGGTGCTCAGCACCAGGGTACTAGGTTCAAATAACACTCAGGGCACTGAACACTCAGGAGGTCAGTGACTCCCACAGTGCAGTCTGCAGACCCAGCGGTGTCAGGTCACCTGGGAATGCCAGAATTGCCATCGGCAGGCCCGCCCCAGACCTACTGAACTATACACACCACGTGAGCCCAGATCCGTGTTTTCATAAGCCCTCCGGGTGATTCTTAAGATTAAGGTTTGAGAACGACATCATTAAGCCAACAATTAGAAAGCCTTCATAAGAAAACTGTGGAAGTCTGACTCACTAATTCAGGGTTCTGCTTTCTCCCTCCACTTCAGCTGTAAGTCATAACTAGTACTACCCACCATTTCTCGACTGGTTACTACCCACCTGTTCTTTAATGCACTCACTGTGTCTTCCGTGTACCTAACCCATTTCAGCCCCGTGAAATGGTTAGCCTGACTGTCAGAAAAGGAGATGAGTGGCTCAGGGCAGTCAGTCAATGGCAGGGTGGGAGCTCCACGGGTCTGCAAAGCCTGACCACTCACCACTACGTGATCCACACGTCAGTGAGATGTTGCGCATATTTATCAATCCGCTCTTTTACTTATGTCTGAAATACTTAGGACCTGATTCACACTCAGTACGCCTGAGCATCAGGAATTGGACTTTATCGACATATCACTTGCATGCAATAAAAGACAGAGATCTTAAAGTGTTCAGTTCAGTGACTTTTGACAACTGTAAAAAGTACATGTCATTAGTACCCAAGCAAAATATATTCGTGTCACTCAGAAAGTGGTGTCAAAGGTCATCAACTCATCTGGATTGCTGGCCTTTCCCCACTGTAGCACTGAAGGGCCTGTGTCCTGGGACAGCTCTCAGTCCTGGGCAAACCAAGACTTGTCACTCTACTCGTGCCCCTTTGGTCTTACTTTGATATGGATGATGGGACGCAAGGAGATGAGAAAAGCGACTCAAGACACCTGGGGGCTAGGACTGTAAACTGGGACCTTGTTTCACTCCTCTGGGAGAGAGGTTAGCACCACACGGACAGCAATGGTTCTTCACTACGTTTTAACAGAGCAGGGCTTTGAGGGATGTGACAAGGCCAGACTGTCCATCTGCCAGGCCTCTAGACAGGCTTCATACTGTTTGTGTGTCTTCTCTCAGGGTCAGGCCATCAGCGGCCACATTCTGCTATGACCGTCTCCTCTAATCCGTGAGGCGCCGTGACACTGCCCCAGCAGGCAGAAAGCACGAGGGAACTGGCTTTTGTGTTTTTAGTATACAGGCTTTTTATTAACAATTTCAGCTGCTTAAAGATCTTTTATACCTTTGGCTGGTTCTGGTCAGCTGAGGTTAACTACTATTCTCAAAAAGGGACGTGCTTTGGCTCCTTGAATGATTTCACCTCCTCTATAATTCCTCTCGTAGGTAGTAAAGATAAATTTCCAGGCATCATTGCAAATGTTCCAGTGAAGGTGCTTCTACACCCAGCCCTTTTCGTGTCCTGGGGAGAAGCTCTAAGCGAACCCAAAGGTGGACATGTCCCACTACACTCCCTGATCCTCCATTCCCTGACCTGGAGCTGGAACCAAACCCATCCTGAACAGTCGCCAGACTCTGCTCTGTGGCTGAACTGAAATCGTGGAGCATCTTTTCTTGTTGTAGGTCTACCCAGCAACGCCTCATTGAAGGATAAAGTGGGTTTTATAGCCTGACCCTGAAAACTAAGGCCCATTAGAGATGCAAGTCTCCTATCAAAGTGCATTTCAGCTGTACCTGACTCACCCCTGAGTCTCACGCTGGTCACAGCACTAGCTTTTCTGGGCCCAGTTTCTGGGACTCACTCACACATTTTATAACCCACACCAGTCCCTTCTCCGTGCTCTCAGTCTTTATCGGTGAGCCGATGTGGTAAAACATCTCGGCCTTTCCCTCTGCTCAGAATTTACCTTTTCAGGCACAGCTGACGCGGTCGTGTCCTTGGAGGTCTTGTCAGTCGTGATGATTTCCAGCAGCTGCATTTTGTCCACGGGGGAGAAGTAGTGCATGCCGATCACCTTTTTAGGTCTTTTGCTGACGGCAGCAATTTCACTGATTGGGAGGGCAGATGTGTTACTGGCAAAGATACAGTGATCTGGAATCACCTGCAGGGGAAAAGCATTAAGAATGTGTCATATAATCCCGGGAGATGACAAAGCTATTGAGTGACACCTGGCACAACTGCTCAGCCAGCAGGTGTCACTCACCCAGACATTTACACCGGCCCTGCGCTCTGTGCTGGGGCCTGGGCTGGCCTTGTTCTTGTTCCCGTTCAGCCTTCCTCCAGTTACGGCCCATCATCGGGTCACCTAACTCTGACCTGAAGGCTCTATCTCAGCGACTAGGAACGAGATACCTTAGATAAACGCTGAAAGATGCCCTGGAATCAAGCTTCATTCAAGACCCAGCAAAAATGTCAACTTCTCTTGTTTAGATCTGCACCCAAGTATGGCAGCTGATGTTACCCCTGCATCCCTCCGCCCTTCACCTTTATAAAAATAAGCCATGCATGCCTATCTGCTCTCGCACGGTGTGTTAGTAAAAAACGGCGCTGCCACTGTAATTACACCTACAGAACATGAATACTCTGCACTCTACTCGCTTACACCCTGGAGAATAGTCTCTAATGCAGACTGTCTCAGCAGTCTGCCCATTATCCCAACTTATTCATGTTTTTATCCAGATGTCTAGGTGAAACATGGGAGCACACCTGTCCAATCTGTGCAAACCTGGCATAGGCAGAAGCCAAACGTCAGAGATGAGCATCGAGGTTAAAGACATTCAACCCACTGAAAAGTTGAGCCTACAATAAGATCAACTATAATGGAAATGAAGGTATAGTACTGTGTTAAAAGTTTTTTTTTTTTTTTTTTAAAAAAAAAAAAAGGAAAGAAAAGAACTGCAGAGACAGTTGATGGGCAAACTTCGGCTTGGTAATACACCTGTGATAAAGGGGACATGATTTTAGTTCATCAGAGTGGAATGAATTGGCAGTACAACATGGCTATAAAAATGCTAGCACGGGGTAGGGAGCAGCAGGTGGCGTGGTGATTAAGGCACTGGACTCTCACACGAATGACCATGGTCTGAGTCTCAGATCTGGTAGCTTGCTTTCTCACTTTCCTTCTCTCTCTGGGGAGCACACATGCCCAATAGCAAATTAAAAAAAAATAGGGACCAGCAGATGGTGTAATGGTTACTTGCTGGATTCCCACGTAGTTGACTGTGGATCAAGTTCTGGACTGGGTGGCTTAAAATTCATGCTGGGCACATGTGCATGCATGCCCAAAATCCCAAGAGGAGAATGGAGGAGACAGGGCTGTGACATGGTCATCCCCCTGGGGGGGTGATTTCTTGCTTTCTGTCTCTCTCTGTTGTGCACATGAGCCCCATAGCAAAAAATCTCTCTCTAAAAAAAATAATAAAAATAAATAATTAAAAAAACCCTACTTATTTAATTTTACTTATTACAGTTTTTTAAATTTGTTATAGGGTACATGCACTCACCAGAGAGAGAGAGAAAGAGAGAGGCAAAGTGAGAAAGTAAGCTGCCAGGTCTGGGACCAGAACTGCATTTGGCCATGGGAGTCCAGCACATTAATCACCATGCTATCTGCTGACCCCTAAAAAAATAACTCTTAAAAAACAAAAAAAATGCTAGCATGATCTCGAGTTGCATCCTTGGTGGGATGGCATCTGACAATGGGGTAAAATCCTCCATGAAAAGCAAGCCAACGTGGGAACCAGCAGTTAGCGTAATGGCTATGTCGCTGGGCTCTCACGTAGTTGACTGCGGTTCACATCCCGGACCTGGTGGCTTAAAACTCACACCGGGTGCGTGTGCGTGCGTGCGTGCCCAAGATCCCGAGAGGAGAATGGAGGAGAAGGGATTGTGGCGTGACCATCCCCCCTGGGGGGTGATTTCTTGCTTTCTTGTCTCTATGTCTCTCTGTCTGTTTGGCGAGCGCACGTGCCCTATAGCGAAAACAAAACAAAACAAAACAAAAAAACACCTCTCAAAAGCAAGCCAACGTCTCCAAAGGTGGCTGGTAATCATTCTCCCTCTTGTATAGTCTCCCTTACCCACAGTTTTGCTTTTCGCAGTCTGTTACCCAGAGTTAGCTGTGGTCCCAAGGTGTACTCACAGGTGGGTACACTAATATATTTTGAGCAAGATAAACCATATTCACTTAGTTTTTATTATAATATATTGTTATAACTGTTCTATTTTATCTTATCTTATTTATTTATTTATTTATTTTGGTTTTACTACAGGGTACATGCACTCACTGGGGGCAGAGAGACAGAGAGAAAGAAAGGAGAGAGAAGTCACCTCCCCAGAGGGGCTGGTCACACTGCAATTCCTTCTTTTCCATTCTCCTCAAAGTGAAGACTGGAATGTGTGTCTCATAAGCGGAATCTTTCCCCAGCAGAGCTGCCTGTCTGCCTTCTCAGCCGACTCAGTTCAGTCTGTGGTGGAGCAGGGGCCGTTCCCACATGAAGCCCTGCCTGCTTCCCTGCAGCCCTCTGCTCCAGTCAGCACCCTCTCCTGCGAACCACCTGCCCACTCAGTTCTGCTTATCCAGCTGACGGCGAGGCTAGGCCTTGGCCCCACCTCATGCCTGGATGACTGCCATTTCTCCTTTTGGGGCTCCTTCCTTACACCACCCACTTGGAGTACTTGTTTTGTTTATGTCACCATCTTGAGCACTGGCCACCCAGGGTTGGCTAGGTGGCGCAGAAGTGCTGCATTGCTCAGAGGTGCTGGCTCCACACGGAAGACGGTGTTTCAGTCCCCAGTCAACTGTTCATACGGAGCGGTGTGCCCATCATCCTGGCTGGCTGGGAAGGGCCAGGGGACTATCCTATTGGGTGTGCTTATCTTTCTGTCCCTCGAGTACACTTATGAAATAAAGAAGGAAATAAAAAAATAAATAAATAAGAATTGGCTACGTTGAATATTTGGGAGCAGGACAAAACACTTCCATGCATCCACTACTGCCTGGGTAAACGCTCTTGACTTCCTCTGCTTCCTAGACCTGAAGAACATTGGTTTGGCGTGCAGCCACCCAAAGTCTCAAGACATCTAGCCATCCTCCCACGTGAGCAAGGCTAACAAACCCTGTGCTTGGCTTAATACGCTATTTGCCTGTCTTCCTGTGGGTCTCAGAGTTGGCCTCTGTAACACATGCAGTGCATATGAGACCACAGAAAACTTCAGTCTGGAAAGGAGTAGTCCTACAAAAGGAACCATCAGTTTCCCAGGTTTATGTTTGTTTGTTTTTCTTCAATTTTGCCAGAGAGCACATGTGCTCACCAGAGAGAAACAGAGACAGAGAGAGAACATGAGAAAGCACCCCTCCCCATCATGGGGAACCATCATGCCCAAATCCCCTCTCTCCCCCTCCTTTTGGGAGTTCGGCCACACATGCACATGCACCTGGTATGTTTCTTAAGCTGCTGGGTCTGAGACTTGACTGGCACGGTTGGCCATATGAGATCCAGCTGCCTTAGCCACCGGGGCACAGGCTGGCCCCACAGTGCCTTTTAGAAAACCCTCGGAGTCCTCCACCACTACCCTAGGACAGACACGGCAGGCCTCTTACTTACGGCTTCTACTTCCTTCAGCACTTTGTGCTTGAGACTGAGGTCCTCAAACACAGCCTCGATCACCATGTCGGCCTTCTCAAAACCCTGGTAATCGAGCTGCCCAGTCAAGTTGCTGAAGATGGAATCTCTTTCAAAGGATGTTAGGGCTTTCTTCTTCACTTTATCATTCAATCTGGAAAACACACACTCCTAGTTAGAGGGGAGGAAACGGGGACTGACGTTGATCTACCGCCCCTTGGCCACACTGTGTCCTGCATCAACTCCCCATTTCGAGGGCACTGAGGAGGACTTGTGGTCCGCTCGTTGAGGGAGGGTACGAGCACTCAGGGACAGCTTGGCTCCCAAGTGCACGTTCTTTATACCACAAAATGCTTCTCAACGCCCAACTTATATAAGCTGTATCACTCATAAAACAGCGCAATTTGCCAAGGGGACTAAATACCATGAACACTCGCCAAGACATTGAAGGGCAGCTCTGGTCATTCTCTACCTGTGACAGGAGGACAGCCAGAATGTCCTAGACCATGTGGTCTGACACGGGCCTACGTACCATTCATTTTATGTGACTTTGTCATGTAATCTTCCGGAAGGCAGAGACCAAGTATTCTTTCTTATGCTGTGTTCTCAGTTTACTTTGCACACAGGATCTAGCACACACTGATTATGTAAAACATTAACTTAACAGGCCAGCATGTAGTGTGATTAAGGCACTGGACTCCCATGTGGTCAACCATGGTTCGAGTCCTGGACCTGATGCCTTGGAACTCAAGCTGGGTGCGTGTACATACAAGCCCAAAATCCTGATAGGAGAATGGAGAAGAAGGGATTGCAGTAGGGCCATTCCCCCCCAGGGATGACTTCTCACTTTCTGTCTCTCTCTGGCTCTCCAGCAAGCATGCCCTATAGCAAAAATCTCTCAAAAAACAAAAACCAGAATCTCCCTATGCCCATTAATTCAGGTTTCTACAAGGAGTGAAAAAGGATTCTCCTACTCAGACATTTAACTGATGATGAAGATGATGATTTTTAAGTTTCTGCCACAAGGTGTGTGCACGCACCAGAGACAGAGGGCAAGTGAGAAATCACCCCAAGGGGATGGGACATGCCGCAGTCCCTTCTCTCAGGATTTTGAGCATGCATACACACACGCCTGGGTGTGATTTTTGAGCCTCTGGGTCCAGGACTGGAATTGCCGTCAATCATGTGGGATCTAGCACCTTAACCACCATGCCATCTGCTGGCTTCTTAACTGAGTTCTTTTTTTTTTTTTTGGAGAGGTTTTTGCTATAGGGCGCATGTGCTCGCCAGACAGACAGAGAGACAGAGAGACACAAAGCGAGAAATCACCCCCCAGGAGGGATGGCCACGCCGCAATCCCTTCTCCTCCATTCTCCTCTTGGGATCTTGGGCATGCACGCACACATGCCCGGCATGAGTTTTAAGCCACCGGGTCCGGGATGCGAACCATGGTCGACTACGTGGGAGTCCAGCGACATAGCCATTACGCTAACTGCTGGTTCCCTTAACTGAGTACTTCTTATTGCCAGGGGAAACAGGCTTGCTTAGGTTCAATTTGAGGACATTTTCAGAATGAATGAGTTTTTCTCTGAATGAAGAATGAAGCTAACTATTTATTAATATCTTTAACCAAAATAAGTAAAGCCATAAGTAAGTTCCAAGAAGTTGTCAATTAAGATCATAAAAGGATGTGCTCTTGGTTTCTGACCACTATGACAACAGTCAGCAGATACTTGTCAGAGCTCAGGACACTACCAGTAGCTCTCTCTTTTTTTTCTTTTTTCCTTTTTTTTGAAGAGGTTTTTGCTATAGGGTGCATGCGCTTTCCAGAAAGAGAGAGACAGACAGACAGAAAGCAAGAAATCACCCCCCAGGGGGGATGGCTACGCTGCAATTCCTTCTCCTCCATTTTCCTCTCGGGATCTTGGGCATGCATGCACATGCGGCCAGCGTGAATTTAAGCTACCGGGCCTGGGACTCGAACCGCGGTCGACTACATGGGCGTCCAGAGACATAGCCATTACGCTGCTATTCCCAGTAGCTCTAATTCTCGTGCCTAAGGAACTGTTTCCAAGAGCGGACAGGAGACATGTCCCAAGTCAGCACACAGTGAGCGGTGCCAGAACCTCGTGCTTCTAAAACAAAAAGGGAAACCTGGAATGGCTGTATCCAAAAGAGGTCAAGGAAGGGCGCTATTCTAGAGTAACAATTTCTTTCTTTCTTTCTTTTTTAAAGTTTTTGTCATAGAGTATGTGTAGTCACTCCTGTTTCCAAGAGCGGACAGGAGACATGTCCCAAGTCAGCACACAGTGAGCGGTGCCAGAACCTCGTGCTTCTAAAACAAAAAGGGAAACCTGGAATGGCTGTATCCAAAAGAGGTCAAGGAAGGGCGCTATTCTAGAGTAACAATTTCTTTCTTTCTTTCTTTTTTAAAGTTTTTGTCATAGAGTATGTGTACTCACTCGAGAGAGGGAGAGGGAAAGTGAGAAATCACCCCCTAAGGGGATGGCCGTGCTGTAATCCCTTCTCCTTTCTTTTCCTGGGAATTTGGGCATACAGGTACACACGCCTGGTGTGATTTTCAAGTCGTCAGGTCTAGGACTTGAACTGCAGTCAGCCATGTGGGAGTCCAGTGCCTTTACTACCGTGCCACTTGCTGGTCCCAAGTAACAACTTCTTTTGGTGATGGTATGAAATGCTGCTTTGGGACATTTAAAGGCTAGTTCCAAGGCAATGCTGCCACCGAGCACATACCATTAACATTTTTTCTTTATTTGTGATGAAGTATGTGCACACACGTGTGAGAGTAAAACGGAGACTGAGGAACACTTTCTACAGGGTCTACTCATGCCATGATCCCCTTCCTCTGGTCCTGCAGATCCTCTGTGGGCTCCTGGGCACCTCTGTGTATGCTGGCAGGTTTCCTGTAGACTCGGCTGGGGATTCGAACCTGTCACAATGTGGGATCCATCTTCTTTTTCTTTTTAAAGAATTACTTTATTATTATAACTATTTTAATTTGCTACAGGGTACATGTGCTTATCAGAGAGAGAGAGAAAGTAAGAAATCAAGCCACCAGGTCTGGATTCAAATTGTGGTTGGCCATGTGGGAGTCCACTGCCTTAACCACCATGCCACCGGCAGGCCCCACCTCTCTCTTTTCCTTTTAAGTTTGCTATAGGGCATGTGCGCTTGTGGGGGGTGGGGAAGGAGAAGGAAAGGGGGAAAGAGAGAAAAGAGAGAAAGAAAGAGAAAGTAAGAAATCATCCACAGGAGGAATGGCCAGGCTATAATCCCGTCTCCATTTTCCTCTTGGGATTTTGGGCACACATGCACAGGTGCACTGCATGTTTTTCAAGGCATTAGGTACGGGACTTGAATGTCAGCCATGTGGGGTCCAATGCCTTATCATCACACTGCTGGCTTGACCTCCAACTTTTTGAAAATCAAAATCTTACTACGACTGCTTATTATTTTACAAACATGTGCCAACATGATTAAACCTGCCAGGTCCTGGCTAGCATTATGTCAGCAATATATGAGCTTCTCTGCAGAAAAGGAATAACAACGTATTAATACATAATCCGGTTAAGAAACAGAGGAGCTGACTCAGCTAAAAGCCACGCACAGGGCAGGCTAAGTGAAGCCGGCCTGTCCATTACATCTGAGGAGAAAACTGCGCTGAAAGCAATCCTCCGTGCGGCCAACGCACTGCTTCATCTTCCCCTCTGTCAAGCAGGCAGTAAGAACGGAGGTGAGGATGGAAGGAGGGCAGGAGGGAGAAGAGTATTCACCCTTCATTATTCAGAAGTAAACGGAGACACGGTCTGTGAGGCCCGAGACCCTGTGGCCTGGTCAGGTCAGTGTTCTGCTGCAGTGACACCAGCCACCATGCCAGGCTCACAGGCTCTGGCTCAGTCCTGACCTCGATCCTTTCAGCAGAGACACAGGGTCCCACTGTTCTAATAACCCTGAACAATAAATACACAGCAATTCTGTAAACTATATCAAAATCTAGAAACCTGAGAATTTCTAGTCTGATACTGAAGTGTTAAATAAGTGGCATTTAAAAATTGCTACCAGATAGGGTCAGCTGCACAATGCGGTGGTTAAGCACTGTGCAGAGGGAGCCAGATCCCACGTGGCCAAGTGCAGTTCAAATCCTAGCCCTGGTGGCTTGAAAATGCACTGGGTACATGGGCCTGTGTGCCCAGGACCCTGAAGGATGGAGAAAGGAGGAGAAAGGGCTGTGCTATCGCCTGGCCCCACTGGAAGGCGTGCTTTCTCTCTCCTTCCGGCGTGCACACATGCCCTTTGGCATTGGGGAAAAAATCTACAATGTGTTTTCTTCTGCACTCAGACAATAATGTTGATGGGCTATAAAATCTAGAAATAACTGAGGTGAACCACATAATGAGTGTTTCTAAAATTCAAAGGACCCTTGGCTTAACTATATAGTATCTACTACTCACGTTCACAAAAAAAGCCTCTGATGGTAAGAAACTCCCAACACAACCATCAAAAAAAAACAACAAAGTCGGGCCAGGAGGTTAACCTTCTGTCCTCACCTCCCATACTTACTGCCAATTTTGCAGAGCAGAAGATGAAGCAGGATGTTGGCTACACAGGGGATTGGTTTCAGTGTAAGGTTAAGGGTCTGGATCCCACATGGACAACTTCGAGGTTCAAGTCCCAGACCAGGTGGCTTATCAGACGTGTGTGCATGTATGCCCCAAATCCTAAGAGGTGAATGGAGAAGGGACTGCAGTGTGGCCATCCCCTCTGGGGCACAATCCCCCCTCCACTCCCTGCAGCAAGGGTACATGCTCTATAGCAAAATGGAAAATAAAACAGTAAGCATTCTAACTCCTGGCAAAGTCAGAGAGGCTTACCCTTTGAACACCTGCTGCTGTCCTCGGCCCAGCCCGGCTAGTGTGGCATCTTTCAGTATGGTCTTCAGCCCCTTATCCACGGAGACCTGGGCAATGCCGGCTCCCATCAGTCCTGCACCCAGAATAGCTAGATGCCTGAAACAGAAGGGTGAAATGACTTTTGGCAAATAACTTACTCATTTCAGTAAAAATGGAAGATTGCCCAAGGTATCATACAATAAACCAACTAAAGCAGGCAGAGCGGTGTTTCAAGTAACATCATCTTTAAAATAATACAGCTTTAATGAACCATTGCTTTTTAAAGTTACGGTAAATGTAAAAAATCCATTAGGTCTAAAAGAATTGGTCTCCCCAAGATGACAGAATTAGACTCATGTCAGTCAGGTGTGCTGAAAAGAAAACGACCTAGTTTATGTGTAAATCAACATGTGTATTTTTGTTTTCAGAACGAAAGCTAACTTGCCCAGAGACTAACAACCTATCTCTCTCTCTCTTTTTTTAAAGACAGAGCACTGCTATGTTATGGCTTTCTTGCCTTGGCCTCCCGAGTAGCTGGGACTATAGGAGCACCCTTCCCATGCCAGGGGGTGCTGGCAATCAAACCCGGGCCTCCCGTGCGGCCTCAGCCTGCAGAGAAGCAGCACTGACCAGCTTGGACTCCTGCAGCTGGGCCTAAACCCTTCTTAGTTATTTACTTAATTGTTAGTGATTTTATAATTTTCTAGTCTCCTTTCACTTCTCCTGGAGTCAGTGCCTTTATCACCTCTTGATCATTTCGAAAGTCTCCTTGATGGCCTCTGCTTCTAGATCCTATCCCACCCTCCAGTACTTCTAGTCACATGTACTTCCCTGCCCTTTTCACTCCCAAATTCCTCTTGGTCCTGTGAGGACCACCTGAGGTGCCCTGAAGTATTCAAGAATGACTTCAAGTCGTTATTTTTGTCTCTTCAAGGAAATACTAAGTATTTTGAAAATCAATATCCTATCTGACCATTCTTCTCAGTTCTCCATAATTCTGAAACACCATGTTAGGTTCCCACAGTAAATACTTTTTTTTTTAAGAGTTATTTTATTTAACTTTATTTTTATTTATTTATTTATTTGACCAGAGAGGGACAGAGTGAGAGAGAGAGAGAGAGAGAGAGAGAGAGAGAAAGAAAGTGAGAAAGCAAGCTGCTACGTCAGGAACTCAAACTGTGGTCGGCCACAGGGAGTCCAGTGCCCTCAACCACCATGCCACCTGCTGGCTCTCACAGTACATAGTTTTAAAAATGTTTTTAGAATCAAGTCTTTCATAAAAGAACCCTGAGTTTATAACACTGTAGACCCATATTAGAGTTGTAGTGCATGATAAAATGTTATTCCTAACTATTCAGATTGTAATGTTCAAAAATCATACACAAGTGACCAGCAGATGGCATAAGGGTTATGTCGCTGGACTTCTATATGGCTGACCACAGTTCGATCCTGGACCTGGCGACAGCTTCAAAGTCATGCTGGGTGTGTATGCATGTGTGCCCCAAATCCCAAGAATGAAGGAGAAGGGGTTGTGGCATGGCCATCCCCTCCGGAGCGTAATTTCACTCTTTCTGACACACACACACTCTCTCTCTCTCGTGAGTGCATGCACCCTATAGCAAAAATCTCTCTCTTAAAAAACAACAAAAATGAGCCCTGAAAAGGAAATCTACATTTAAGTCCCAGCAGCATCTTCCAAATGCAGCTTTGTAATAATACAAATATTTATATGGTGAATGTTAAGTAATTACAAGACAATGAAAAAAATAGAGAAGCAAAGAACAGGAACTAAAAACAAGATTAGTTCCCAGCAGCATCTTCCAAATGCAGCTTTGTAATAATACAAATATTTATATGGTGAATGTTAAGTAATTATAAGACAATGAAAAAATAGAATAGAGAAACAAAGAACAGGAACAAAAAACAAGATTAGAACATTTACTAAATCAAAATTAAAAATTCTATTTGACAAATGACCCCGCAGAATTAAAACCACCACAGAATGGGAAGAAACCTATGACATGGATATCAGACGAAGGGTCACTGCTGTGGGAATACAAAGAACGTGTACGTGTCAGTTAAAAAGACAGCCCAGTAAAATGGACAAGGACTATAAAGCAATTCACAAAAGAAGAAAACAAATTGCCAACACAGATGTTCAGTTCTCCTACTAATCTGGGAAATGCAAATTCCAAAGAGATACTTTACCCACACTAGACCGGCAGAAATTTAAGCATCGGTAAAGGTGTTGGAAGAAAAAAAAAAGGATTCTTTGGGTCAGCCTGTGCTATGGTGGTTAAGTCAGCTGGATCCCACGTGGCTGGCTGTGTAGTTCGAGTCCTGAACCCAGTGGCTTGAGAAACATGTAGAGCATGTGTGTGTACACTCAAGACCCTGAAAGGAGGGAGAAATGGAGAAGGGATTGTGGTGTGATCATTCCCCTTTGGGGAGGGGATGCTTTCTCTTTCTCTCTGTCTCTGGCAAGCACATGCACTTTTTGGCAAAATAAAAAAAAAAAAAGTTGATTTCCTTCACTCATGGCTGATGGAAGTATACTTTGCCCTACCTTGGCGGGCAAATTTGTTAAAGCCCAAACTGCATATTTTATCACTTAGTAAATTCTACTTCTCACTATCTGGCCTACAGAAATGCACTTAGGCACAAGATGACCCGGGGTGATGAACAGTTTTATGTTTGTAATAATGAAAAATTATTAGTGAATTATTTAATTTTAATTATTAATGTATAATAATAAAACAGCCATCGACTCATCTGCTGGTGACTGAAAAGAATGTTAACTGATGCATACCAATCTAGCCTCTACTAAGAACAAATACAAGTTACAGGACCCATACTAAAAACAAGACTGGCACATACTAAAAACAAGATTTTTTTTTTATGTTAAAACATTCAAACCAGGGGCCAGCAGATCCAGCTGTAATGGTTACATCTCTGGACTACCACGTAGTCAACCGTGGTTTGAGTCCCTGACCTGGTGGCTTAAAACACGCCAGGCACTTGGGCATTCATGCTCAAGATCCCGAGAGGAGAATGGAGGAGAAGGGATTGCAGCGTGGCCATCTCCCCTGGGGGGTGATTTCTCGCTTTCTGTTTCTCCGGTGAACACATATGCCCTCTAGCAAAAGTCTCTCTAAAAAACCACCACCAAAAAACACAACGCTCTGCCATGCTCACCCAGAGGGGAGGACCCCAGGGGTTGTCTGGAGAGCTCCCTGAGTACACCGGGTACTTGCTCAGGAGCCAGGCAAGCTGAGGCTGGGGAGGACTGCTGTGTTAACTCTGCTGGGAGTGTTCTCTTTCTCTCTTGTACAGTATAGATAAATAGGGAAAAAACAACAAACCTAAACCACCCAGCCTGCTGGCACAACCTATAGCAGACCTAACTATGCTGCTGCTGGAGGCCACAGGGCCAACTGAGGGTTCAGATCCCTGGGGTGGTCTGAAAGTGTACCAGGCATGTGCACGTGTGCTGAAGATCCTAATGAACCAAAGGGCTGGGGGAGGGAAATGGCAGTGTGACAAGACCCTGTGGAGGTGCTTTCTTCTCTCTTTCATATGTATGCGCGTGCTGCCATAAATCAAAAAATAAAACCTAATTTAAAAAGAGAGAGAGAGAGAGAGAGAGAGAGAGAGAGGGCTGGCTCAGTGGTAACGTGCTGCTCGAGCAATCCTGAGTCCAAACAGGAGGTGGTGGGACTGGTTCCCTGAGTGATGGAACACGCTGACACACATGCCCATGGCCCTGGCTGGCTGACGGCAGTGAGCGTTATGTGAAAGACACAGTTCAGACGGATTCCAGATTCTATCCGGAAATCACCCCTCTCGGCTAGAATCTTACCTGTTTCATGAGACTTCTTTTCCATTTCGTGTTCTATTTCAGATTGAAATCTCATTAAAGGTTAGAGAGTGGAGAAGGAAGTAACACTAGTAACTTCTCTAAGATCCTTCACAGAATCCCGCTAGAACAAGGTTTCTTTTTTTACATTTAATTTTATGTATCATCACCATTATTATTATTTTAATTTGATTTGATCAGAGTGAGACAGAGAGAGAGAGGGAAAGTGAGAAAGCAAGCTGCCAGGTCTGGGACTCAAACTGTGGTTAGCCATGAGGGAGTCCAGTGTCTTAACCACACCACCCACAGGCCCCGAGAACAAGGTTTCTTAATCTCGGCACTTCCGACATTATGGACTGGACACTCCTTTGTCGTGGGGTGTCCTGTGGCTGGAGGCTGGTGGGCTGTTCAGCAGTGTTCTGGCCTCCAGCCTCAGGATGCCATGGCATCTTTCCCTCCCGGCTGTGAAAATTGGAAATGTCCCCAGACTTTGCCAAGTGTCTCCTCGGGGCAAAACTACCCAGGGTGAGACACTGACATGGAAGGTGACTTCAGAGCATCAATAAACCTAAGATGCTTAAGAGCCACCAGACAACACAACACTGAAAAAGCTTGCTGATGAGAACAGACAAGCAGCAGGCAGGTAGAACTGCCCAGGCTTAGGTTGTACGGTAAAAGACAGGCAAGATCTCAACCACTGCAACGTGGCTTTACGGTAATGAGGAAAGTATGAGCTCCCAGAGACAGCACCTCGAGTCACGGGAAGAGACCATTCCACAGTGCAGAGTGTGTGTGTGTGTGTGTGGGGGGGGCTAGGAAGGGGGACCTAACTCAGACTGAGAGGGCATCAATACGAGACAGCAAGGCTCAGGGGGAGTCACCAGAGGCTGACTCAGAACAGAACTCTGCGAGTCAGGACGTTCTTGGCACAGGCCAGGGCTCTAATGTGCTTAGACAGAGGAGGGCACGACTGAATTAGGATACAAATTTAGTCTGGTAGATTTTCAGACTTCTATAAGCGCTGTATGGAGTAAAATTCACCAGGGCATCTTAGGCAGAGTTTAACTTACTTCACATCCCTCTGTGGAGCTCCAAACTTATTCTTCTTGCACAGGACCTGGCCATGGTAAAGTCCCATCAAGGCCTTTGATTCTTTGGTCATTGCAAGCTCTCCAAATTTCTGAAAAGTAAAGGGAACGAGAAAAGGGAGAACTTCACTGTCGAGGCAGTGTGGATTCCTGCAGTTCAGGCTCTCTGCAGAGCAGAGGGCGTGCACGTATCAGCTTAGATCTCCCAGGGCCCTCGGTGGCTGGTGCCTGGGCTGCAGAAGTCTGCCTCCTGCTGATCGGTCGCCTCCTTGCTCTCCTCACTCACCCAGAGCACTTTCCAATCACCGCTCGGGAAAAGGTTCCGGATATACCTGAGCCCTGAGATTCTTTCTGTCAGAGTGTGTGTGGTAATCTTTTTCACACTATTAGTCTCAGAGCCAACACGGGCCTTTGCAATCATCTCAAATCAACCCTCTCATTGTAAAGACTGGGAAGAGGAGGCCCAGAGAAATCAAGCGACTCTGCTAAAAGCCATCCTGCCTCCAAGTGGCAGAAATGGACTTGAACCCGACAGCCTGATTTCTGACTCGGTCTCTTTCTACTTGGTCTTCCTTGTCCTTCTGCCCCATGAAACCTACCACTTTAAAAAGTACCTGAACACTTATGTAGAACGAGTCTCAACTTACTGGTTAAAAGCAAATATTTAGAATCTGGGTTTGACAGAACTGGGTTTGAATCCTGGCTCTGCCATTTCCTCACTGTGAGGCTTTCTTCATCCTTAAAGTAGGAAAAACAATACTCAGCTTACAGTATTGCTGTGAGGATTAAATGGGAACACTGGTAAATGACTAGGGTCGCCGTGGTAGCTATTACCAGCATCACTAAAATGTACGATAGGATTACATGGTTACAAATAGCCTTTCAAAGCAATCCCTCTAATACAGCTGCTTCCATGCCACGCTCCAGTAAGAACATGAAAGAATGTTCCCCAGAAGTGATGTTTTCCTCATCTTGGTACAGCATGCTCTTTCCAATAAACCAGTAATTTTCAAACTGTGGGTAAAGCCCATCAGGGGTCATGAATTTAGTGGGTTTTGATAACCACTTATAAAATGCTCAGTATGATTCACACAGGGAGGACAATTACTGATCTGGTGAGCTCATGCTTCAGTTTTACTGCACATATGTATATGTGTACCTGGTTTTATTTATTTATTTATTCATTCATTCTTTTAGGTCTTTGCCAAAAGCTGTGTGTGCTTGCTAGAGAGACAGAGAGATGGAAAGTGAGAAATCATCCCCTGGGGGTATGGCCACATCACAATCCCTTCTCCTCCATTATCGTCTCAGGAGTTTGGGTATGCACGCACACAAGCCCGGCATGATTTTTAAGTTGCCGGGTGTGATTCTCAAACTCCAGTCAGTGATGTGGGAGTCCAGCACCTGTTGCCGGGTGTGATTCTCAAACTCTGGTCAGTGGTGTGGGAGTCCAGCATCTTAGCCCCTATGCCACTTGCTGGCCCCACCTGGTTATATTTTGAAAAATCAGAAATGGGGCCAGCAGATGGCATAGCAGTTACGTCGCTGGACTCCCACATAGCTGACTGCAGTTAAGAGTCCTGGACCTGGTGGCTTCAAACTCACTCCAGGCATTTGTGCGTGCAAGCCTGAGATCCAGGGAGAAAAAGGGATTGCGGTGTAGTCATCCCCAAGGGGTGTGATTTCTTGTTTTCTGCTCTCTAGTGAGCGCATGCTCCCTATGGCAAAAAAAAAAAAAAAAAAAAAATCAAAACAAAAAGAAAAAAAAAAAAACAAGAAACAAAAAACCAGAGATGTACCATCAACAAGAAGGTCTAGTCCAAGAAATATTTTTCTGGTACCTGAGCTCTTCAGGTATCTTTCATCCTATCATCAAAGAGCAGTCACTCTTCAATGATTGCCTAAAATTTAAAAACAACCCAAGCCACTTAAGCTACCAATTTGCTCAGTCAGTGGACACATCCCTTTGCCTTCATCTTATACAAGGTATTAAGACCCTTTTTTATTTTCTAATTCACTAAAGAGAAGTGAGGCTTCAAAGTTTCATTCTAGGCCCTAACAAGTAAGAAAAATACTTTCCACCACTGAATTCATTTTATCACAACGAACCAGCTCAACTACAGAATAAAAAACTTCCGAGGGGGCGGGGGCAGCAAGTGGTGTGGTGGCTAAGGGCACTAGACTCCCACACGGCCAACCGTACTTTGAGTCCCAGACCCGGTACCTTGCTTTCTCCCTCTCTCTCACTCTGACTCTCTCTGGTCAAATTAAAATAAATAAATAAAAGTTAAATAAAGTCATTAAAATAAACAAACAAAAAACTTCCAAGTGATTCCTTTTGAAAGGATTATCTCTGCTCCTATTTCTGTTGGGTTGTCAGCAAAGTCATGATGCATTTTTGCACAGAAAAACAAAAACAAATGTCATGGTTTTCCCACAACCTCATAATTGAGAGCAGGTTCAAATATCTGTAGACCACCAGGGTTTTATTTCATTTGTTTTGTTTTAAATTTCTTTCTTTTCTTTTTCTATTTTTTTTCAATTTGCCAGAGGGCACATAAACTTGTCAGAGAGACAGAGAGAGGGGCGGAGGAAGAAGGAACCCCTCCAATGGGCATGGTCATGCCACAATCCCTTCTCCATTTCTTCCTTCTTTTGAGATTTTTGGGCACACATGCATATGTGCCTGGCATGTTTTTTAAGCCACCAGGTCCAGGACTTGAACCAAGTGGTTGGCCACCTCCCTTAATCACTAGGCCATGAGCTAGCCCGACTACCAGGCCTTTCTTAGTATCTACGTGCTCACTGTGTTGGTCATAAGAAATGATAACCACTGGGAGAAAAAATGTTTTACTAAAGCTCTGGATGCTCTTGCTGTTTTCAGTTTGTATAGTGTTCGAACTTTGGCTTTCACCTACCTTATTTAAAAATAAAAACTGAAAAGAGATAACTTTACCTGAGATTCAGAGAGATAACCAGCATCATTCCCTTGCTCGAGTCCAGTCTTGACCACCTAAAAACACACAGAACATGTGTTCAGTATCGGAACAGATTGGAAGGACATATGTGGGATTTCAAAAAGTCTGTGGGAAAATGGAACTAAGTATGAGTTTATCTTAGTACCAAAAAACACCTGAAATGCACAGTTTTTTCATAATACACATTTTCTATGAATATCTTGAAGACCCTCTGCACAATAATGCTGAATAAAATTGCCGCGGTTGTTAGCCCACAGAGAGGAAGTCCAAAGTCTAAGCTGGAGTGAGAGAGAGGACTGAGGTACGGGCTGCCCTGTACGGATGTAATCCTCCATCTTTGAGTCAGCTGTGACACCTGCGTGAGAAGGAAGGAGAAGGAAGAAAAGGCCGACATCCCTCTTCTAGCTTCCCTCCTATACTCCAGACACAGGCAGAGCTTCCTCTCGCACTTCAGGCCCTTTTCTTTCTGTTTTCTTCCACAGATGCATAATCGAGTTGATGCCATGAATCATAAACCCCACGAAGTTCAATGTAACATTTGGGGTAAGTACTGTCCTCATTTATGTCTGCAATGAAGACATGACCCTGTACACAAGTCACCGTGATTTATGGGCACAGCAAGTTGTTTTCTTAAATAACAAACAAATCTACATCCCTGCCTTCTCTAAAGAACTACTGCTTGAATTTTCTGTAATATCTGAACTCACCATATCTACATTTAACTCACAATCCCTCGCTAGCAAGTCTCCCACTACCTTCCTAGCTTCACTTTTACTATTTCAGAGTTTTACTCCAACTTCAAGCCTCAATTACCAGGACAGCCTGTTAATTCACTGTTCCCCTTATCTCTCCTCCTGACCCATTTTTATCTACTACCGTGAAAATAGTTCTCTATTCTACATAGGATGAACAAAAGTTTTCTCAATTATTACCAACCTTCAAAAATCTAGCTTCGGGGCCGAGTGAGGCGGCGGCGGGCGGAGGGGCCCTGCGCCGGCCCACCCGGGCCGGCTGCAGGCCCCCACCACCCCCGGGACCCACGCCCAGCAGGGGGGC